ATAGGAAAAGGAAACAGGATATTACAAAAAGGGAAGTAGGAAGTCATAATTTGACTCAGAGGAAGAGGGGTGGGGCTTAGCACATGGTCTCTAGTGGCCAGCGCCATATTGGCTTGGAGCCATACTGACTCAGCACCATACCACATGACCTCCAGCGCCATATTGGCTGGACGCTATAGCAACTCAACAGGAATTAGAGCGAGGCAAGAAACCCATCAGTGGTTGACTGATTGCAGTGATGACTGCCCTTGGTCTCTAGCCCACATTCCCTATGGCCTTGGCTTTAACTGAAGATGTTCAATACAGGCCCTGCTGCTGTACTTGTTTTGCCATACCAGAAGGACAGTTGCCTTTCTCTGCTCCTTATAGGAAATTCTCCTTCCTTCTTTACCCACAACTCTCTGTACTCAAATAGAGAGCTGTCCACCTCCCACTGCCTCTGCGACCTTGCCTTCTGTGGAATCTCATGCTCTTCCCTTGCCTCCTGATCTGAAGCCCAAATGGTTCTCAGTGACCAGAACACAATACTGTTAATTTTTCTATAACACATAATTAACAGGAGATAAGAGTTTACTTTTATTTCTTTTTTTTTTTTTTTTTTGGTTTTTCTCCGGTACCGGGAACCGAACCAACAACCTTGCGCTTGCCAGGCAGGCGCTTTTGCCGCTGAGCTAAATCCCCAGCCCTACTTTTATTTCTTAATTGCTGAATTATATTAGATAATCATAATTGTCATTCTTGTTTGCCACTGTTTGTGCCATTTATAAATCACTTCATAATGTTTCTTTAAAGGGATGTTTTGTTCTTGTGGACAAGGTCTTGTATTTCTGTTTTATATATGTTACATCTAGCCTCAAACTGACTTGTGACTGCTGTGGGTTTTAATCTTATCTTAGACAACAGCAGCAGCAACAACAACTATATGACACTAGGTCAGTGGTCGTTCTTAAGACTTGGAGAACACCCTTTACTGAGACAAAATGGCTTGATCTTCCCCTACACTCTGGAGGAAATGTCAAACCTATTCTGCTTTGGTTTCCTTTCTGGTCTGATCTCATTTCTGATCTTTTTTGGTGGCATGTAAGATTATAAAAAAAAAATACTAGTAAGTTGTGGACTTTAAAACCTTTACTGTAAACTTATAAAGTGCTAGGTAATGATTTTGCCACCAATTCCTCTGTAACTTTTCCCCTGCCACTGCCATCCTCCTTGAGACATGCCCTTTACCCCATCCCACAGCAGGACCCCCAAAACAGCAGGCCATGCCCCTAGCTGTGCCTGACACAGGCTCCCAGACCCTGACAACCCCCAGCTGGCCTGTACCACATGCTTCTCCCCTCCCTGCTGCTGCCACACTGCAGCTACCTGCTCCACCAGCAAACTGATCCATGCCCAGCTGAGCCCACCAAAAGCCATCTTCCAAAGCGCCCCCCTACCCCAGCCACAAGGCTCAGGCCACCTGCTGCTCCTCTAGCCTTCAGTCATATGCTCTCCCAACTCCCACTCAGCACTCTGCCACACATGCAGTCCAGACTGCTGCTCCCTGTCCTCCTGTTCCTTCCCCTCTGCCAGACCTCACTCAGATCAGCCAGTATGTGAGCTCTTTCTCTTTAAACTGTTATAACCACAATTTCTCTCCACTCACCAAAAGTTAACTTTGAACCCCTTAATTAAAAAACAGGGGGCTGGGGATTTAGCTCAGCGGCAAAGTGCCTGCCTGGCAAGTGCAAGGTCGTGAGTTCGGTTCCCGGTACCGGAGAAAAACAAAAAACAAAAAACAACAATAAAAAACATATTAAAGGGGCTGAGGATTTAGCTCAGCAACACATGCCTGCCTGGCAAGCGCAAGGTCGTGAGTTTGATTCCTGGTACTGGGAAAAAAAAAAACAAAAAAACCCAACCAACCAAACAAAAATCATATTAAAAACAGGCACAGCCCCAGTGCCCAGAGGACTGCCTCTCATCATGATTTCTCTCCAGAACACCTTACAGGCCAGCCACTATTCTCATAGATAATCTCTTTCTACATCCAAACCTGGCCTGCTTGCTCCCCTAGATAGTTAAAATTACCTTTAGCAGTCTGTCCCATTAGAGGAAACAATTATATGTGGCTATTAAAACAGTTTTGGCTATCAGCCATGACCATCCAAGAACTATGGCTGTCAAATTTTAAAGACTGTCTTTGCTTTCACAGGTATAGAAAGTTTTATTCCCTCTGATTCTTAGTACAAGAGATCTCTGTTAATTGACCTACAAAAGTTCTGATTAGTCTATTTATATTATAGATTTAAAAACTATAAAAGAGTTATTATAATTCAATTTGACCAAATATAATTGAGTGCACTGATTTTATAAACAGATTATCTTATACATTTGTTTGTCTGTCTGATCTGTAAACAGTTGTTTTATTTTTTAAAAAGGTGCTCTTTTTTACATTTTTAAAAAATTTGTCTATAATTTAAGTCAGCTTATAGATAAATGTCACCAAAATTAAAAACATGCTTCTATCTAAGTTGCCAGCTGGTCAAAATGATGTTAAAATTGGTCTTATAAATATAGTACATATTTTTGTCTGTGTGCAATAACTCAAATCTCTCACTAGCCAGGCATGGTGGCACATGCCTGTAATCCCAGCACTCAGGAGGCTGAGGCAGGAGGATTGCTGTGAGTTCGAGACCAGCCTGGGTTACAAAGTGAGCTCAAGGCCAGCCTGAACTGTATTTTGGACTGTGTCTCAAAAAGACCCCCCCAAAATTTCTCACTGATCAAAATTATGTGTTAAGTGTTATGGTCTGGTTCTCTTAGGTCATCATAAGTTTGTTAAGGTAATTAAATGGGGACCCTTCGGGTTTGGGGGAACTATTGGATGGGACTCCCTTTGGTGAATAAAGGAGTAGCTGCCTGCCTGGAAAAAATCATATTTCTGCCTTTGTTCACTAGTGGAGTCACCAATAATCCCCATAGCCTTATGGGAGATATCCCAATAAATGTTAAAAGTACTATTGTGATATGTTTACATTGGTCATCATCAAAGTTTAAGTGTTCTACAAATAAAACAATACAGTTTTCTCATTAAAAGATACTTTTGATACAAAACTAAATTAAAAAAACAAAAGTTTTTGCATGGCTATGACAATTTGTTATTGCTAATCTCACAGTGTATTAAATATATTCCTGCTTTCCAGAAGTACAAGTTTTCTAAAATGTAAAACTGGGATTGTTTATAGTGGTAACCTTTTTCTTTGAGATTCAGATATGCGCCTTTCTCTTGTGCTCCAACTACTTGTAATAAGAGGTATATGTGAAACCAATATGAGACCACCTGTCAAATTAAAGGGGGCTTCTGTGATGGTTATGTTATACATGTCATTACACTTAAAAAATGCTTAGGTATTAAGCAATCCAGGCAATGTCACAAATTTCAATGACATTCCATTAAAGGACAGTAAATTAGATGAGAGTGTCCTGTGTACCAGATAGAAATAATTAACTAACAAGGTTATTCTATACCAAAATAGAGATTTAAACGTCCAGTGTAAATTCTCCAGATGTCCCCAGACGTCCCAGGAGCTGCAAAATACCTTGTCCTATCTTATCTCCTTTCCTGTGCTTATTGATGACAACTTTGGTACTGAGCAGAGTTCCCTGCTAAGAACTGAGTTCCCTACAGATAGTAGTGCTTCTGCTGGCAAGCAGGTTGGGGGCTGGGAGAGTCAGTTCCATGTGAACCTTATGTAGCCCTAGTTCCTTTTGTTTAGGGCTAGTGATTCTTCCCATACCCTGTGTGGGCACCTGGAAGTTTTCACAATCTGATTGGCTCTCTGGCTGTCTTTGACTCTACTCTGGGCACTTCTGTTCACATTCTTTCTCGCTGTTTGATTTCTTCCTGCTGTTTGTGATGGGTAAGTTGGGGGGCAGCCTTATAGAAAGGTAGCTTAGAGTTAATCATTAAGTAAAGGGAACATTACTGGTGTAACAATATAGTGACACTACAGTGAGAATATATATGTATGTACAGATGTATAGGTCTGTGTGTATGTGTGTGTGTGTGTGTCTTTTATATATTAAACAAGAGTCCTAAATGGCTGCCCTTTGCATTTTATCAGGGATGAGTGAGGGGGGCTGGTTACTCTGGTCTTTTATATTTCTGGCTTTCTCTGTGCTTTATTAACTCTTTCTGATAAATTCTTATGGTAATTGTGTTACCTGGCACCTTTCTGGGTCTGGTTTCTCTCTCCTACCTTTGTCTTTCTAATTGCTCTGACTGTAGAGTATAGAGCTGCCTTTAGTAAGGTTCCCTATTAATTTTTAATAAAGCTTAAATGAGGCTTTTATTCTATCCTTTCCCTGCCTAGGAGCTTCCTTTCCCTACAGTGGGTTGGGTTGTTTTTAATGTTTGAAATCTTCCCAAATTAAATAGGTTCTGATGCTGCAGACCTCCTGTTAGAAGCAGAGCTGAGCCTTCAATGTGCCATGATTGGGTCACTGAATCATACTGAGGACATAGCAAGCAATTTTGTGTAGAGCTCATAGTATATACCATAGGCTAGATTCCCTCCAGGCAGCTGGAGCATTTGGAATTGGGAATAAACACTGTTAGAAGTCCTTTCTCTGGTCCACCCCACCTTCCCTGGGGCAGAATGCAAGCAGTACCTTCTGGACTTCTACTGCCTTGTTTCATACCTTTTATATAAATGTGACTTCCCAGAAGTTGGTATGAAACACTAATTCAGCCCTGACCTTCATCTGAACTGTAATTTCAAATAAAATTAGGTGCTAAATTGAATCATGTAAGCCATGAATACAATGTCACATTACAGCAGAAATCATCAGGCCCCAAACATGCCCCATTGCACTGTGTCTGTCCCACCATGTTGCTGGTGCAGTGGGCGTTACTGAGGGAGGATATGGGCTGAACTACTCACCAAGTCTCCAGACTCCACCCTCACGGCAGAAGGGGTGGGCTTGGTAGGAGGGGCTTTGCCTGGTTTAAAGTCCTAGTTTCAATTTGAAACTCAGTGAATGCTGCTCACTTTTTACTCCACACCAATCCACCAAATTATAAATCAGGAAGCTGAGAAACACACTGCTGTGGAGGTTAACCACCAGGTAGCAGCCCTTCCAGACCCAAGCTGCTCTCCTCTCACAAACCACACTGCTCAAGCCTTCTAGGCTCCCTGGAGGTACACCTGCCAAGCTAGATGATGCCCAAGGAGGAGCATGAGGTGACCATGCTGGGGGGACCCCACCACCCAGCTCCTGAGACCACCACTGTGATCAACATCCCCAGTGACAACCCTGTGCCTGACCACGTGGTCTGGTCCCTCTTCAACACGATCTTCATGAACACATGCTGCCTGGGCTTCATAGCTTTTGCCTACTCCATAAAGGTGAGTGCCTGGGTGTGATGTCCTTGGAAGGAGCTGTGAGGCTCAGATTCACCTGCCTGAACAGAACCTGTGTGTGTGTGTGTGTGTGTGTATGTGTGAGTGAGTGTGTGGTGCGCAGGGCGTCTTGTGTGCATCTGTGTGTTGAGGAATCTCCCAGGGCAGGCATGAGGTGAGCTCCCTGGGCATTCTGGGGTCACACTTGGTCCCCACCCACCCAGAGGAATTCTTCCCACTGCCCACACCAGAAACACCCCATCCACACTGCAGATGGTGGCCCCCAGGCAGTCTGGCAGCTGCAAAAGGACTCACAGGGGACTTTTCCCCTGGGGTGAGTGGCCAGCCCTGGGGCCACCTATACAGTCTGAGTGTGAGGGGGATGTCCTCCACCTGAGTGAGGGCAGGGGGAATTTGGTTGGGCAGGGCGGGCCTGGAACCCCCAAGTCAGCACCCTATCTCTGCCCTGACCCAGTCAGACAGGGCCCTCACTCTCTGGTCTCCCCCAGTCTAGGGACAGGAAGATGGTGGGCGACGTGATCGGGGCCCAGACCTACGCCTCCACCGCCAAGTGCCTGAACATCATCGCCCTGGTCTTAAGCATCATCCTGAGCATTGTCTTCATCATTTTATTTGCCAGAGTCTTCACAGAACTCAACCAAATAGTCTATCATATGAAAAAGGATTCTCAGGGCTACTAGTCTTGCTGTGTTCTCAGCTCCACAGCTGCCCTAACCCTGGAATGGGTCCTGCCCTTCACCCCACACCCTGACCAGCTGTCCACAATTGGGATCAATAAAGTGTGCATGTTCCTACTGTGCTATGACGTCTCCTGGGGGAAGGGACATTGCTCACTCTCCCTGTCTTGGTCTTGAGATGAGCCCACCCTCCATGCAGTGTCTTTGCAGGCAGCAGGGCAGGTCTTCAGGTTGGAGGTCTGTGGGTGCCTGCTGTGGCGGATGCACACCCAGGTCATGGTGGGTCGCCTCTCAACTTTTCCTGACTCCAGGGCACACTGTGAGCAGCACTGCTTGACCCCAGGCCGGTCCTGTCCACTCTAGCAGGAATATGTGCAGCTCTGGCCTTGAGGGTCCACTGTGGCTTTTGTATCACTGGGGCAAGTCCTGGAGCTGGGCTGCGCCTTCCCAGTCCATCCAGCTCTGGCTCTGTCCTAGCTGCTGCTTCCTTCTGTGCCTTCAACGTTCAACTCTCCTTAGGTGTAGCCATCATTTTCTGAGGAGGGTCAGAAGCCAGAAGTCAGAGTTGGTTGGTGAGATCTTGGCCTTAGCACAGAAGTGAAGTCTGAATCCTTGGACCCCAGCAATGCTGGCCTTCCTAGGGAAGAAGGTATTCTGTGAAGGTTGAAGAATGTTATTGCTCCGGGCTGGGCTGGTTCAGGTTGAGGCTCTACAAACCTGGCAACGTGCAGCCTCTGACAAGTCCCTCTTGCCTGGCACCTCAAGTCAGGAGCTCCACCAGGATTTCTCTGCTCTGCCCTGGACCCACTGTAAAACTCACTACTACTTCTACTACTTTGGGCCCCATGAGTCCTAATTTTTGTGGTCTGTGGACACTGGGGGGTCCCCGAGCTGACAATGAATGTGCAGGAGGGCAAGCTGTCCCTGGTATCCCTGGGATATGAGGAGGGAGGTGGCTTGGAGGAACCGAGGGGAAGAACCTAAAGAGAGGCCACACACTGCAGGCAAGAACCCAGTACAACCAGACCCGCCAGATGGGTCACCATCAGCCTGGGGCCCCAAATGTACTGCAGGATTGTGGCACCATGATCCCGCTGGGAGGGGATCATCTCCTGGAGCCAGGAAACAACCTGTGGCCTCACACAGCTGAAATTCTGAAGCCTAGGGGATCAGAAGGAGGAGATTCTGGTAGGTATCCAGGTATCTTGGGTGCTGACTACCGGACCCCTTTTCTGGGTACTGTAGGATTTGACTCAGACATTACTTGACTCTTCCAATACCCAACCTGTGTGCCAGTAGAGGCATTGTTCTCAGCTCAGCACCGGTGCCCTCAGCAAATACTGGGTGTTGTAAAGGAGATAAGGTGGAGCATAGAATCTTCCAAGCACTGGGACATCTGAAGACCCCCAAATATTTACACCCGATGCCTCAAGGACTTTTCCCACTGACGCATGAGACTTCCAGAGGACTTTGACCATTGATGTTTACTCAGATCTTCCCACCTAATGTCTCTTGCCTATAAGAAAGCCCACTTCTCTTTGTTCCCTACAGACAGCCTTTTTGTCTTCTGTGCCTTGCAGCAAGGACAATAAATTCCACATCATGTTGCCTTTACACAAGCCTGGTGATCTCAACTGGTTTCTGCCTTGTGCCATTTCTTACATCTGTTGCCAAAACCTGCGAGAGAGCCAAGTTCTCTGGAGAGCTTTAAGGTCTCTTGAACCTCTACCCCAGCTGAGACCACTCAGCAACATCCTCAGACCTTGGTCCCTACAGTTCCTTCCACTTCTCCCATCCCAGATTTCTCTGGGCATTTCAGGTCAGGCAAATCCCCCAATATCCTTCTCTCTTCTTTCTCTCTGCTTGCCTTTTACTCTCCCCAATAAAGTCAGAGAGAGGCTTGCTCTGCCTTTTGTGCTTTTTAAACTCCAGCACTGGTCTCAAAAAGCACTCCGAGGAAGGCTGCTTCCCTTTAGCTTCTGACCAGCCACAGAGAGACATTTGCCTTGCTCAGTTGCTTGTGTTTATGGCTTTGTATCCCAACTGGAAACGCCCACCAGAGATCTGGCCACTCTCCCACACCTCTCTCTGTACTCCAGTGGGGAACTATTTTCCACCCCCACCCATCCTAGCCTGCCCACTGCAGAATATCAGCCCTCTCCACTTCTGTCCTGATCGGAAGCCCAAATGGCTGATCTTTTTCTGTAACATGGCATGGCCAAGCTTCCTGCTGGACAACAGCTCTCGGTGACCAGAGCATTATACTTTTCAATTTTTTCCCTTTTGCAAAATAAGAAAATAATTAACAGGAGATAAGAGTTTGCTTTTATTTCTTGATTGCTGAATTATATTAGGTAATCATAATTGTCATTTTGTTGCCAGTAGCTTTTGTAAATCACTGTACATCTTTTATATATCCTTTTGTTAAAACAATTATGATGTTTCCTTTTTTTGGTTGTGATGTTTCTTTAAAGGGATGTTTTACTTTTGCAGACAGGGCCTTACATTCCTGTTGTATATATGCTACATTTAGACTCCCTTAAATAGGCTTGTGATGCTATGGGTTTTAATTTTATTTTAGACAGCGCTAAGGAGAAATAATGTTAAAGCGCCATCTACTGGACTTTGATAAAATTCTGTAAGATGGGTCTTTTTAAAATAAAATCTTGTCTATATTCAGTTCAGGCTTTTATCTGTCCTTTATAAAATGCTAAAACCAAACAGTGGTTATTCTGCCAGCTAGTCATTGCCTCTGGAATAGCTGCCACTCTCAAAGCAGAAGACAGGTTTCTCCGGTTGCCATGGTGAATCCCTATTGACACCAACGGCCAATGGAATGTTGACCAAATGGGCCAGTGGACTTCTTTCCAGAGACAGCTCTCTGATTGCATGGAAGTAGTGAAAACTGAAAGCTGAGGGGTCATGGCTAGGGCAGCTCTTCAGCAGCTACCCAAAGGTCCCTCAGAGGAAATCAGCTCTTCACATCCCTGAATGGGTCATCCAGAGAATCTATGCTTATCTATCATTTCCACCTGCACTCCCCATGGAAGGTGAAAGGCAACTCTTTCAGTGATCATCAGGTTTCCGCTATCTCAGATTGTCCTGAAATGATGCTGTTACAACCCTTTCTTTTTTTTTTTTTTTTTTTTTGTTTTTCTCCGGTACCGGGAACCGAACTCACGACCTTGCGCTTGCCAGGCAGGCGCTTTTTGCCGCTGAGCTAAATCCCCAGCCCCTGTTACAACCCTTTCTTAAGCCTTCATCAAGAGTTGAGCTACAAGCCTGGGCTTTTCTCTTTCTATTAATAAGTTCAAAGACCTAATTTTCCTCCTCCTTTCTCTTCTGTCTACCCACTTCCCTCATGCTGATTCCTCCCTGACATTTCCCTCACTTTACTCCCTTGTTCTACCACTGTTCACTTTGAGACAGCCCCCCAGGGGCCCTGCTGTGAGCTGCCAGCCATTAGCCAACCCTCTTGTGTGCCTGTCCTAGGCTGGAACTGCACCCGGCTTGTCCAGCCTGCCCCACCCAGAGCCTGCTCTGCACTCATACAGCCCTGACCACACAGCACAGCAGGCACATGCACCACAGTGGAGGTCAAGGTCCGACCGGCACTCATACATATGGTAAGACCACAGTGCCTGTGCACACATCCCACCACCAGTGCACCTGTCTGAGCCCACTTTGGATTAAAAAGAATGTGAGCCTACACAGCACATCCCCTTGCTTCATTCTTCTCCACTGACCCCATACACAGCAGGCCACACCCCTGGCTGTGCCCACCACAGCATCCTGGCCATGACAACCCCTGGCCCCTTGCAGGTCTGGGCTGCACTGCACTGCACCACCCCTGCCCACCCGCCCTCTACCATGACACTATGGCTGCCTGGCTATACAAGTGAGCTGGTCCATGCTCACCATGCCCACCTAGGGCCATCTTCTGAAGACCTACTGCTACTCATGGCACTATAGGCCCAGGCTATGGGGCACAGGCCACCCTGCCCATTGCTCCTCTAACTTTCTGTCATATGCTTTCCCAACCTCTGCCCTGCCACATACCCAGTCCAGACTAATTACTCCCTAGTCCTCCTGCTCCTCCTTCTCTATCAGACCTCTCTCAGGTTAGCTCTTTCTCTTTAGACTCTTAAAACACCAGTTTTCTTTCAACTTGCCAAAAGTTAACTTTTCACGCCTTGATTAAAGACCGATATTCCCTCCAAGAGATTAGATTAACAAAGCTTACAACAACTGTTTGCTTTAACAGGAGACAACAACTATCGAAAAACAATTTACACTTATGCTTTGCATCCACTGAGACTGATATAACTAACCTTCTCCTGGGTGTTCAACAACTAAAGTTTAGAGACCAGAACCAGAGAGATAACTGGTCTAAGACAACAGCCAATATTTTGACCCTGGCCCTCCAAGGTCAGCAGAGACCCAGGACATGAAAACACTTTTTCTACAGGATCCTGCAACTCTGGTGAGTCACCCAGTCTCCTGAACAGGGAGACTGATAGGCCCAGAGGACAGAGATTAACAAAGATGAGCAATGTGCATAAGGAGGGTCCCCCAAAAAAGGTCTGTCAAGCAAGACTGTGACCCATCCTGCCAGCTGACACTGAGAGAGGAGCTGAGAGGTTTTGTTCATGGTTCCAAGAGTAAAGCTTTGAGAGGTTTACATGGCCTTGATGGACAGTGAGAGGTCAATTTTATTTATTTATTTATTTGCATCAGTAAATTTATTCCAAGTTAAGAGTTGGGTGCACACACCAGGCATGTTACCTCCACAAAAAAAATCAGCATTGTAGTAAAAATACTTAACACTTTAGCCATGAAACTCAGATACTTGATAACCCTCTCAAGATACTTACTTTGTTATGAAATTTGTAATCTATACTTGCCCAATTAATATTTAAAATGTAATTGTATTGCTTATTAAACTTATATAAATATATATTTCAAACATATTTGCTGAAATTGTCCAAAAATAACTTTATGGTAACTTCAACATATCCACATATAACTCCTAGCAGTGTTACTATAGAACCAAAATTTTTCAAGTAGCTTCAATTCACACCATTCTTGACCATATGTATATTTTTACTACTTGGTTATTTTAGTATATCAACCATCGCTTCACTAATATCCCAGAGTTTTCTTGCTACAGACTCATCCATAGCTTTTGGTAATAACTCTTCCTCCTTACAATCTCCAAAGTACTTTCCTGACACACTTTGTACCTCAGGGGAAGAAGCTAAATAGATGGAATTCTGGGCACCTTCTAGAGGAGTTTTGAAGAAAGCCCATGACACCAAATTGAAAAATAGTTTGGCCAGTAGTGGAATGTGTATGTAGCTGCCGAGATTAGTCCATACAATACTGGGATGTACATGCTGACAGTAACATTGGTGTCTTCTAAGTGGTGGGCTATTGCTCTGGTAAAAAGAATGCTTGCCAGTTTGCTCCAACTATAACAAAAACTTTTACTGTAGCTTTGTTCATTGTTTAAGTCTTCAAAGTTGATGTCTCTATATGTATAAAACTTGGAAGAAATGATCACAATCCTGCTGGGAGCTGAACTTTTGAGGAGTCCAAGCAGAAGATTGGTGGGAAGGAAGTGTCCCAGATGGTTCACTCTGAACTGCATCTCAGACCCATCTTCGTTCTTCATATAGGAACACTGGAAGACCCCTGCTTTATTGATCAAGACATCCAGTCTTTCCTCCTCCTGCAGCAGTTCCAGGCAGAAGGCACACACTGAGCACAGAGAGGCCAGGTCAAGCTCCTTGATGACCAGCTGGCCCTGCCTGACTGGCCACATCCTCAGCTGTCAAGTTCCCAGTGCAGCTGGCTGCCTTCTTTTGTGCCTCCTCCTGCATGGTCACAGCAGCCCAAGATCACCAGTGTGCCCAGGCACAGCAGCTCGGCAGCTGTGGCCAGCCCAGGATGCTGTTGGTGCCAGTGATCAGCACCGTCAATTTTAATTAACACAGGTCTCATTTTAAATTGATCTTAAACACCCAGCAGAAAAATATAATTGAAAGAGATAGATAAACTTTTGTTATCTATCTATGTGCCCTCCAAAAGAGCAGTTATTTATGTAAAAGACACCTTGACTGGTCTCTCCCTCTCCTAAGTTAAAAAAAAAAAAAATTAACAAGGCAAGCGGCTTCCAAAATCAGATGACATTAAACATTCTAACAACAGTAGAAGAGGTACTTGTGCCAATATAAAAGCTAAATGCTGTGTATACATTCCTGATCCTTCTGATATATCTATGGCTATTCAAGATATTAGATGACAGGTTAAGGCCATATCAGGTTGTAAAATTCCCTGAGTCTTCCTAGTAAGATATTTATTGATTATAATCATAATAGTCTTGTTGATTTTATTGTTTGGCCCATACTTAACTATTTTTTTGGCCTTGTCTACACTACAACTGTGACCAGAGACATATCAATTAAAAGGCCTCAAGATAAGCAACAAAAAATCAGGCCTACATAGTCCCCAAGAGATAACACCTGGTCTAATAAGGTCTAGGTCAACATTAGTTACCTCAGTAGACAGCCCAACACCCCAGATTATTGTGTACTTGAGAAGATCTTTAATCTTGCTTGCCTACTACATGACTTACTTTCCATTAGATCAATATACCTAAACAACTCACAGAACCCTTCTGTCAGTTCAACCTTTCTCTTTCCTTCTCTGGCTTTGCCCAAAACCCCATCGCCTCCCCAGATCTGGACCCTAGGGTCTGGATACCTCCTCCCCTTCCCTGGCTCTCAATCAAACACCTCTTGCCATCTCCTTAAAGCCACATTGCCCCATCCCTCCCAGTGCCAATAGTCTGTCCCAGATCAGACTCTAAGGAACTAAAATCAGTTATCTCTCACATGCTCCAACAGAGTCTTCTGGTCCCTATCAACTCTCCAACACTCCAATTCTCTCTGTCCAAAAAGTGAATAGCACTCACAGATTAGTACAGGATCTTTGTGCTATCAGATAGTCCTTCCTACCCATCCTGTGGTGCCAACTGCGTATACTCTTTTATCTTCTCCCTCCCCATCTACTCAGTCCTAGATTTGAAAGGTGCCTTCTTTATGATTCCCTTACTCTCCTCCACACAATCTCTCTTCACCTTTACTTCAGTCAGGCACTCACCCTTGATTTGCTCTTCTGCCCATCCATCTCCCACATCATATAATATACAGATGAGCTCTTTCTCTGCAGCTCCTCTTACAAATCCTCCAGATGGGCCTCATGGCTCTTTCCCTTAGCAGGGCTGCTTGCTGTACAATCTTCCATCCCTTGTTCAGGCTCTGTCTTTTCAGACTCCAGTCACAGTTCTTACAAGACTACATACAAGCAACCACTAATTGGCAATTGTTATTCTCTGCCCTCAATATAAGGCAGTTCCCCAAGGTTTTCCTTCATACTAGGTTGCCCACTCAGCCCATGTGCCATGCAGGAAGCAGTCATAAGAAAGGGTACTCATCTCCTTTCTTCTTCTTTTTCCTTTTTAAAAAATAAAAACAAAAAGATGGAAATGTAAGACTTGATTATGACATGACTCTCTCAATACCCAACCTGTCTGCCAGAAAAGGCATTGTTCTCAGCTCTGCACTGGTGCCCTTGGCAAACATAGGATATTGTAAAGGAGATAAGGTGGAACATGGAATCTTCCAAGCACTGGGACATCTGAATACACCCAAACATTTACACCAGATGCCTCCAGGACTTTTCCTGCTGAAGTATGAGACTTCCAGAGACTTTTGATCACTGATGTTTATTAAAATCTTCCCACCTAATATCCCTTGGCTTCTTTCAAGTCCTATAAAAAAAGCACACTTCTTTGTTCCCTACAGACAGCCTTTTTGCCATCTGTCTGCCTGTACCCAGGCACACTAAATTCCATGCTATGTTGCTTTTACACAACCCAGTGGTCTCAGCTGGTATCCATCTTGCACTGTGTCTTACAGGTACACAGTGGGAACATGACTGGGAAATGGCCGTGGGACACACTGGGAGGTGGAACTTCAGGTCACTTGGGTGTGGGCTGCCAAGGAGGGCACTCTCCTAACTGAGCAGCTAGGATTCCCATCTTCCCACCTGAAGAGACCATGGAGAGTTCCCCAGCCTGGGAGGCATAGGTGACCGGGCAGGGCTGCTCCTGCTGCCGGGTAAAGGAGGACAGGGCCTTACCCAGAAGGGTGTCAGTGCTCAGGCTGTGCCTACTGTGACAGCTCCTGGTGACTGGCAGCTTGGTTGGCTTGAGAGTCACCTTGGAGTTAGTACAGCACACTTCTGCATATCTCAGGTGGCCATGGGGCATGACCTGGGGGGTCCCATGTGGCCCCTGACCCTGGTTCTCTGGAGCTTTAATCTTGCACTCCGCTCCCCAGGTGCCAAAGCTGAGCATCTGTCCTCCACTCCATGTCTGGCAGCCTGGGCTCAAAACTCAGAAACTGCCAGCAAAACAAACCCTTTCTCCTTCAAGTTATGCATGTCAGGTATTTTGTGCCAGCAACACAAAGCTGACCCAAACATCTGCTCTGTCAAGTCAGAGGTAGAGGCCAAGTCCGGGGTCCCGACACGAGGAGGGGAGCTTGTCATCCTGAACCAGGGGCCCCAACTCTGCACCCACAGAGGAGACCCCAGCCTTCCTGGAAGCTGGCCCTCACCCCGCTGGAAGGCCCTACAGTCCCACCTGCACATCCACAGCATGAAGGGGCCACTCTGCCTAGGGAACCTCAGATACACTGAACTTTGCAACTGGTTTAGGAAGCAAAGAGCAGCAGGACATGGCCAAGAGTCCCAGAGATGCAGGCAGGAGGCCGAGGCCCACTCCGAGGGATGAGGCTTGGGGTGGCTCCAGAGGCTGAGACTCAGGAAGGACACCCTGTGGGACAGGGGAACAGGGCTTCTGGAGACCTACACACTGCAGGGTTCCCTGTGGGGAGGTGGACATGTGGGAGCTGTGACCACAAGCAGAGACAGGGCTGAGTCTCAGGGATGTGGATGGGAGTGTCAGAGGTTGGCCAAGTCCTCTCCTCCCCGCCAGCACCATGGCTGTGTTCCTCCCCACACCCCGCTGCTGTGCCAGCCCCACCTGGGGAGAGGGCAGGAAGGGCATCCTTCCTGTCAGGACACTCTCAGGGAGGCCAGGCAGTTGGAGTCCAAGTCCCGCCCACGGGTGACCCCAGGCAGCGGCAGGTGTCCTGTGCATCCACAGGGCTCCTAGAATCAGAGGTCTGCTGTGGGAGAGGAGGGGGAGCCACTGCTGCCATCTGGGATGGCCACAGGAGTAGAAGCACGAACACCTCAGCCCCACCCAGGTCCTGGCAGACAGGAGTCCCGCAGTCCAAGGCCCCGAGAGGCCCACATGGAGCCAGTACAGAGGCTGGGGCCACAGCACTGCTGGGTTGGAGGTCTCTGCTCCCTTGAGGAGGTGGTGGCCCTAGCCTGTGAACTCCCTGAGTCTCAGGTCTAGACCTTGATCGGATGATGGGGGCCTGGGACCAGGCGGGGGTGGACCTCAGCACCTCCCTGCTGAACAAGCCAGCACCCGAGGAGGACCCAGCAGATCCCAGGTGTGCTGCTCCCCATGGCCACAGAGACCTCCAACTGAAGACCTGCCCTGCTCTACCCAGATAGTGCACAGAGGGTGGGTTCATTTCAGGACCAAGATGGGGGCAGTGAGCCACGTCCCCTCCCCAGGAAATGACACAACACAGTAGGAACATGCACACTTTATTGATCCCAATTGTGGACAGCTGGTCAGGGTGTGGAGTGAAGGGCAGGACCCAGCCCAGGGCCAGGGCAGTTGTGGAGGGACAGAAACCGCAGGACTAGTGGCCCTGAGAGTCATATATCGCCTTGGACAACTGCACGGAGGTGAAGGAAAACACAATGATGAGGCTGATGGTCAGAGCGATGCTTAAGACCAGGGCGCTGACGTTCAGGCACTTGGCGGTGGAGGCGTAGCTCTGGGCCCCAATCACATCGCCCACCATCTTCCTGTCCCTAGACTGGGGGAGACCAGAGAGTGAGGGCCCTGTCTGACTGGGTCAGGGCAGAGACAGGGTGCTGACTTGGGGGTTCCAGGCCCGCCCTGCCCAGCCAGGGTGCCCCTGCCCTCACTCAGGTGGAGGACATCCCCCTCACACTCAGACTGTATAGGTGGCCCCAGGGCTGGCCACTCACCCCAGGGAAAAAGTCCCCTGTGAGTCCCTTTGCAGCTGCCAGACAGCCTGGGGGCCACCGCCTGCAGTGTGGACGGGGTGTTTCTGGTGTGGGCAGTGGGGAGAATTCCTCTGGGTGGGCAGAGACCAAGTGTGACCCCAGAATGCCCAGGGAGCTCACCTCATGCCTGCCCTGGGAGATTCCTCAACACACGCACATGTACCCAGGGCGCCCTGCACACCACACACAGCCAAGTGCCCATACATGTCTTGCAAACACACACACACACACACACACACACACACACACACACACACACACTGACACACAGATTCTGTTCAGGCAGGTGAATCTGAACCTCACAGCACCTTCCCAGAGCATCACACCCAGGCACTCACCTTTATGGAGTAGGCAAAGGCTATGAAACCCAGGCAGCATGTGTTCATGAAGATCGTGTTGAAGAGGGACCAGACCACGTGATCAGGCACAGCAATGTCACTGCGGATGTTGATCACAGTGGAGGTTGCGGGAACTGGGCTGTGGGTGCCCCCTAGCACAGTAACCTCATGTTCTTCCTGGAGTCTCTCGTAGTTTGGGGGCAGGCCGACGTTGGCCTGAGAGAAGACAGTCTGGGTTGTGTGGCTCATCGTGCTGATGTGGGACACGCTGAGAGTCTGGACAGTGGGCTCTTCTTTGTGACCAGCTCTGCTGTGCAGTTTTGATTTCTCACAAGTTTCTTTTTCCTGCCCATAGGCAAGTTAGGGATTGGCAGGGTACTGAGTGGGTGGAACTAATTCCTGAGGATCAGATTTCTCTAGCGTAGGGAGGCAGGAAGGGTGGAGGGTCAGGGGCTTCCGGTCCAGGACCCAAGCCAGGACTTGTGTCAACTGACCCTCCCTGTTGCGGGCGGGGCCCTCGGGGGACTTTCCCAGGACTAGCTGTCTCCTCAGCCCAAGACAGCCATGGCAGCAGCTCACTGTCCCTGTTCAGGACACCAGAAAGGCCTCTTTTGTGGGTGACCCAGCTGCCGTGGCTCTGTCACTCAGTGCCCAAATTTCCCTCAGATGGTCTGTGAAGCCATGTCCAGCGGCTCCACCTCAGTGGCCTTTCATAGTGGCCTCTATGGGGGGCGGTGACCTGGTGAGCACCAACGACAGAGGAGTAGACAGGATTGAAGGTGTTTTCAGCAATATGGACTTAATGGTATCACTGGTCTAATGGTGCTTACAAGATCTGAAGGTAGCAGTGGCTGTGTTAAGTGCAGGCTCACAACACTCCTCATGTCATGCGTTTGCTCTAGGATGTTTCTTGGCCTCTGGCACAGGGACCTTACCCTGAAATGGCCATGTTGATGAGCACCTTCCACGGCATCCACACCCTAGGACCCCGTTCCCTCTGTCCGTTGTTGTCCTGGTGAGCCCCAGGGAGTTTGCTGCAAACAGGCTTCCATATTCATTCTGTCCCTGGCCTGTCCCCAGCACCCAGAGGCAGGTTGGTCTCTGGGCACAGTTCTCCCGGAGGTGCTGCCCATTCCTCAGCTGTCCCAGAGTGGCTAAAGAGAGGCTCCTTCCCTCTGCCCTGCTCCCTGTCTTAAGGTCACTTGTGGTGAGCCCTGAGTTCTTTCTTCTCCCCGCTCTGTCCCTGAGCTCATCCTCTGTCCCCCAGGGAACAGCAGAGAAACAGGCTCTGGGAAGCAGGCCTGGATGCTGTGGTCATGGCTGCCTTGGGCTCCATCCTTTTGGCCTGCTTCTGTCCCTGAGTGCAGTTGCTAGGCCCCTGGATGCTCTGAGTTGCCTGTGATCTACTCTACTTACAGTGGGCAGCTCTCCACATGGTCCCTTGTGGGCCCATGTCCATCCTCAGAAGTATAGAACCTCTTCTTTTTAGACAGGAGCAAAACTTCAGACTGTGCCTTGAAGAGGCTTAGAGGTTGTGAAGGAGGACGCTGTTCTACTTCCATGTAGCCAAGGACCAGGCACTGTGGAGCAGGACCCAGGGGGATATGCTTCTCACAGCTCGCCTCTCTGGTCCACCTGTGAGCTATGCTTCAGACCCAGGTCCAGGACTGGAGCCTGTTAAGTCCTCAGGACAACAGATACTTGCCCCTCATAATGATGGACATGCTCTCTCCCACAATCATCCCTGCAGAGCTGGTGGCCATTGCTGTGCTGCAGAACTGAGGATTGGGTGTTCCCCACAGAGCATCACTCTGGTCCCTTTGCCTCAGGGCCCACCACTATATCCTTCACAGTCTAACCACAGGCCCATGGTCCCTGGCAGAGGACTCAAACCACGGCCAACACCCACTGGTCCTAGGTGAGCCTAAGTGCACAGTCTCAGGATGGTTCTGCTGTGTGGGCACAGAGCTGGAGAGGACAGCTTTTTCCATGAGTCTGCTGGGAGCCTGTACATTTCACTCATCAGTGGGGAAGGCCTCCACCCACAGGTGCTGGACATCACTGGGCCACCCCTGGTCGCACCCTGCTTCTCACATCTGTGCTGCATGTTATCGCCTGGACCCTGAATCCTGCTCTTGGATGTCTCTCGGTGGTGCAGGTTCCAGAGGTCCTTGGACGTCAGCTCTGTCTTTGCTGGGGCTGCAGCAAAGGGTTCCCCTTCTTCCTGACCCCTTCCCCTTCCATCCTCAGGGATTTTCCCAAAAGTTTTCCCTAATAACAGAAGGCCTTAAATAGAATTCCTGCATACATTTTTGGTGGAAGGCTGATGGAGTGAGCTCACAGTACCCTGCTGAGACTGGCTTTCCCTGGGAGAAGGCAGGTTCGGGGGTCACTGTAGGGCACAGAAGTCACTTGAACAGGAGTGCACTGGCTGCAGTGCAGAGCATAGACTCTGTTGCAGTGAAGGATGGAGCCCCAGGAGGAAGGAGGATGCTTGGTCTGAGCAGTTCCAAATGTGGATGGAAAAGTTCCCCATGCCCTGGACTCCTGGATGGTGGGACTCCAGGATTTGGCTGGGCATCCAAGGAACAGGAAAAGCCAAAACATGGGTTCTGCCAAAGGCTGGGCAGGGTAGGATAGGAGCAGAGGCCTGAGGGCTCTCAGAAGAGCTAGGCTGGGGTTACCTCTCTGAGCAGGCCATTGGGTTGGCGAGCCTGGTTCAGATGTTCACACTGGGACCTGTGTGTCACTGGCACACAGAGGCATCTTGGGAGGACAGCAAGATGAACCCCCCAGCCCTAGGCAGGGCTACCACCTACAAACAGTTCAGGGTGAAGGAGGGCAGAGCGGATCCCAAGGAGACTGAGCAGGACCCACCCACCCAGGAGGCGGAGGTTGGGAAGAGGACCCCATGGCTGGGGAGCCCACTATAGTCCTGCCAGCCCTGCTGAGTGTGTCAGTCCCTGGGACTACCTGGCTTCTGCTTAGCAGTCACCTCTAATGGGGTCTCCACTTTCTTACCTTGCTGTGCCACCAGCTGCAGTTAGCACTGCCAGAGTCTGAGTTCTGACTTCTGGGCACACAGGACTGTGGTTTCGGTGGCTCTGGTTTTGAGGAAAGGGCTGAGCCCAGGCTTTGGGGGCTCTGGCTACACCCAGGGTGAAGGAGGTCTTCTATGGCCACAGCCCTGCACAGCTTCTTGTGGGTTTGCCTGGGGCCAATGCTGTCTCCTGGCGACCTTGGGTGGGGTCTCCCTGGTGGGGAGGGGATGCAGGCACCAGGGTGGCCGCCCTGTTCCACAGACCCAGGCTGTAATTTGGGCTTTGTTTAGTGGGTGGAGCTGGTCAGTAGGGCGGGCGTGGGTCTATAAGCAAGCTGGGCACCCACCCTGGAAGCAGTCTGAGTGAGCGAGACGGCGCTGGAACCCATGGACACGTCGTTCCCCCGTGAGGAACCCCAGGCCCCGACACCGGGCAAGGCTGATGGTGCTGCCCCCACAGCCCTCATGCTGGGAGAACCAAGCCCTCCGCCTCACGACCACCTGATCTGGTCCATCTTCAGCACAATCTACCTGAACCTGTGCTGCCTCGGCTTCCTGGCACTGGTGCACTCTGTCAAGGTGGGCTATGGGTACAAGTGAGCCTCGGTGGAAGATGGGAGTGAAGCTCCAAGTGGGATGGTGGAGGGGGCTCCAGGAGTGGGGACGGGGCTCAAGGAGGGTGGAGGAAGTGCTCCATGGGCAGTAGCTTGGGAGTGGGGCTTCTGGAAGGGGTTCATTAGCATGGGGGCCAACATGGAGGCCTCCCCATGTAAAAGGGGTGCCAGTCACAAAAAGAGGGTCTGTTCCCTCCTCTTGGGGATTTCTTTCTCCCGAGAGGGTGGGGTCCACAGTGGGGCTCCACATGCTTCAGCCCCTGTAACCAACCCCCATTGGCCCCAGCCTGAGTCCTCTTTGCACAGGTGGGTGTGGTAGCAGAGCTGGTTCAATGGCCATGGGCCTGTGGCTGAGGCTTCCAAGCCACATACCTTTGCAGTCCCTAACGGACTGGGCGTATGACCTCATTGAGGTCCAGCTCTGTGTCAGTTTGGGGGCAAGGAGGGAAGAGGGCCTGATCAGGTAGTGTCCCCTGGGCCACACCCCTCTCATCCAGCTAGACAGGCCCTGGCCCCAAGACCCCTGGACTTAACAGTAATTGGCTCTGTGGCTGCCTCACAGGCCCGAGACCAGAAGGTGGCTGGGGACCTGGAGGCAGCGCGGCGCTATGGCTCCAGAGCCAAATGCTACAACATCCTGGCTGCCATGTGGACGCTGGTTCCCCCGCTACTGCTCCTGGGACTGGTGGTGACTGGAGCCCTGCACCTGTCCCGGCTGGCTAAGGACTCTGCCGAATTCTTCAGCACCAAGTTTGATGATGCAGACTATGACTGAAAAGCTGAGTCCCTGTCCTGACCAGAGCACCCCCACCCCAGAACCCTGGCCCCGGGGAGCTGGACCCTGTGACAAGGCCTCAAACCTTGCCTGGATCTGACCCTGGAGGCACCCCAGGCCCAACTTGGGCACCCAAGGCTGACCCTTCAGACCCCAGGGACCTCAGCCTAGCTGTAAGAGTCTCCAGCCCCCTCACTCACTGGGCTCAGTCTCTGTTCTCAATTAAAAGTGCCAGATGCCAGACAGCTGGGGCCTCCTTGCTGACCATGTGGGGAGGAGCGGCTGCAGGGACCACACAGCTCCACCTCCTGGACCAACTTCTACTTGCTTGGTTTTGTCCACCCAGTTGTCCCCCAACTGTCCCTAGAGCTTAGGGTGGCCTGTGGCTTTGGGGGTGGAAGTGCCAGAGTATTTTAGGACAAAGTTTGGGAATTCAGGCCTTTGATTCCTGCTGTCCTGTGGTTTGGTGTTGTGTGTTCCAGAATATGTTTGGGTGTGTCCTGAGTCCATGTGGCTTGCCCTCTCTGTGTGTGCTGCTGCCTCTCTGTCCCTCTGTCCCCATGTCCCAGGCACACTTTGATGATGAGATCTCTATGCTTCAGGGGTCTTCCTTCCCTAGGGTCAGCAAGGGAGGTGGGCAGCCTATTTCCCAGGTGGGGCAGGCACAGGATTCCCACATGTGGTCACACAGACCTCATGCCCACATGCAAAGACTCCCCACCCATGATAGAGGCAAAAGGGAGGATAGAGGAAGATCTCTGCCGAGCCTGAATGCTGCGGCTCAATCGCCTGCCTGATTCACCACACACCTCTGGCCTCCAACTGCGGAATCCGTCGTGTAAAGTCTGCCAAACACAGCCTTGTGTGGTTGGGATGGGGCCCCGACCTCCCTGTGGCTCAGTGGCAGGGTGAGCTCATCCCAGGGGTCTTACTAAAAGGTGTTTTGAGACACTGAGTCCCACCCAAGCCCCTTCTCTCTTGGGGGTCCCTTGGCTTGCAGTTCTTCCTGGGCTGGAGAAAGGGTTAACCTTACACAGCTCTTACCTGGTGACAAACCTGGAGCTGGGGCCTAGCTGAACCCTCAGCCCGCAAGGGCAGGGTATGTTGGGGGCTGGGCTGGAGACAGAGAGCTGCCACCACTAAACAAAGACACAGGCAATGTGTGATGTGTGCTTGAGCCAGAATGGGGACAGTGTGTTGCCTGGGTCTGTTTTAAGGAGAGGCCAGACTGTGCTGGACACAGAGGATGGATGCAGGGGTCAGTCCTCAGAGAAGGGGTCTTCTGCTGGCCCCCATGTGCAGTAGGGCAGGGATAGGTGCTGAGGGCAAAGCCAATGATCCAGCTGATGGTGCAGCCTTCCCTGCTCAGGCTGTCTCCTGGGCAGGCTGAGGGACCTTGATTAGCATACCAGCACACATGCCCTGGGAAGGTACACAGAGGTGACCCACACAGGCAGCAAGTACCAGGCTACACTGTCCCATAGGTGCAGGGCCACCCACCACCCCACTCCAATGCCTTCAGGTAAGTCTACTGCTGGGCCTCCAAGATAAATGCCCACTCCTGCCAGGACAGTCCCCACCTAGGCCTGCAGCAAGTGGCACCCTCTCTACAGACTGCTTATCTCTAGCCACTCAGTGACAGTGATCCACAGGGCCCTGCAGCTGAGGAACAGTCAGCATGTGGGGGGTTCAAGCCATAGTCCTGTCCTTGTGGCTGGGGGCTCCAGCAAGCATGCTCCCCCATGCTCATTGTGGCCATGAAATGAGCAGTGTCCATGAGTCCCTGTCCTCTTATGCCACACATTGCCACTGGAGTGGTCATAAGAACTCACAGTGCAGAGGCAGCTGGCTGAGGCCACAGTGTCCCAGCCTGGACAGCTGAGCAGTCCGGGAGATGCAGTTGTGGAGCTCCCAGGTCAAGTTGCCCAGTGTGACTCGCCCTGTATGTGTGGAGCTCTCTGCCTGGTTTCCACTGAGTGAGAAGAATGTGGGTATGACAATACAGAACAGGGTCCCTGATCCCCGGTGAAGAGAAACTCCACCCCTCACACGATGTTACTTCTGGAGGAGGGCAGAGACCTGCCCCTTTCAGGGTACACTGTGCCAACATCAACCTTTAATTCCTTGAGCTGGCTTGCTGCAGAAATCCAGGCCTCACCAGGTATTGGCCCTAAATGCCATATCACCTTGTTGCTTTCGGAAGACATCTAGGATGGGCCATTCCAGGGCCTCACGGCCTACGAGCAGCAGCTGGGCAGAGCCTGGCTGCAGCCTTCAACTCACGCACATTTGGCTCTGGTCCCCTGGTGGCCAGCAGGGAGCATCTGGATCTCGTTCTGCTCTCTACTCGCCCTACCCTCTGGTGCCAGTGCCCCTTCCCTTCTCACTGAGTAAGTAGGGATGAGTGCCCAGCCAACCCCACTGTGCCGGAGACTGGCCAACCCCAGAATCAAGAAGAATCAAAGAGTAGGGAGACCAGGGTGTCACAGTATGTGACCACAGTGGCACAGAGGATGAATATTACTTGACTTAGTTCAATTACTGAAAGCCCCCTCTGCTAAGGAGAGTCCCAGGAGAAGCCTCAAAGCCAAGAACTCTTGGACTTTTAATTAGAGTATAAGTGGGAAAAAAAAAAAAGCAGAAGAAAAACAGTTTGGGCAAGGAGCTGTCTCAAGACTAAGTAGTTTTTCTTGGGGAAAAGAGAAGGACAACAGGCAGATATAACATACTTCACTAATCTAAACTTGTTTAATGATTCACTTCTCAGAGTCTGTGTGGTTTTGCCCTGCAGTTTAACCATTCATTCTTCAGCCAGGTCTTCCACACCAGAGCACCTGACACCCAGTCTTTGGTGGTTCTGCAGGTGGCTGTGCCCCCTTCCCCAGGCTCACACCCTGCCATTCATGTGACAGAAGAGTCTAGAGACCAGCGACCACAGGTAGGTCTAGGGGCTCAGGCTTTAGCTAAAGGAGCAAGACAGGGAACCAAAGGATGGGGTTATTGCAGTCAGTGCAAGGGCAAACAGGCAAGGTATGTGGGTCCAGACCTGGAGGAGCTTAGCCTTGGGGAGGCATTGGCATGGGGCATAGAGGAGTGGTTTCAGAAGAGGCCTAGGATGCCTCTGAGGCTGGTACCCTGGTTTTTTTGGGGACTGAGCTTCAGGGTTAGACTCTGGGGCTGGAGCAGGATCCAATGTCTTTAAAATGCTCTTCTAGGGAACTCAGGGCTAGAGCTTCAGGGCAGCGATGGGGGTGATCTTTGTATCCGGCCAGCTGAGCAAGGAAATGAGACCTTGTGCCCTGCAGAGACAAGGGCCCCATGGAGTAAGGGCGCACGTGGGGCACTCCGGGGACACATCACCCCATACTCTTTACCTACCCAGGAGCAGGGGCAGCTGAGCTCGTGAGGGCCACAGCTCAGCCTCCAACTGGGGAGCCCTGGGCCATGTCTGGGCTGTGACCTCGACTGTCACTGAGTCTTTGCAGAAACTAAAGTTGAGCCTGTTCCCCTGGTAGAAGATGCCAGAAACACACACTCTGGAAATGCCCGTCAGGCAAAGAGGATCAAAGGTCACACCTGTGCAGGTAATCCTGTGAAGAGAGCTGTGTGAGGAGGCAAAGAGAGCCCTCTCCATCACCCACACACATTCCTGTGCTCACCTGAAGCCTGTACACCCAAACAGCACTGCCTGCAGGAAGCCTCCCATCCCTGTCAGGAAGTTCACAGCCCCGGAACCGTCTGCATTCTCCGTCCATACCTGCAGGAGGGTGGTTGTGGCAGGCCTGGCACACTGGCTTCCTCTGGCTGCCTTCCCAAGGTCAAGAGGAACTCCAGGCTGTGACCACATGGGCTGCAGTGGGGGCAGGTGAGGTCAGCCTGTGGGTTAAGGGCTCAAGCCAGGCTGACCTTGAAGGGCTCAGTGACATTGATGATGCTCCTGTCCAAAAGACCCTGTGCCCGCGACGGGTCCTTCAGCTCCATCCAGCCCACAGCAAACATGCTCTGGGTTCAGAGTTCAGAGGGTACAGGGCTAAGATCCATGGCTTGGGGAAGGAAGAAGGGGTGTGGGGCAGGACTACCCCCACCCCCAGGCTCTCACCCATGTCATGGCAGGGCCCTGAGAGGATGTCACAGCCTCATAAATCTCCAGGTTTCTCCTTCGGACATCGGGACTCAGAGGGAAGGGGACAGGGTATCCCAGGAGCACAACATCAGCCTGCTTCACCTCCTCTCCTAGGGAGTGGGCTGCTGATGGCGTGCTGGGTTGGACACAGGGTTGTGGGTGGGGAGAGGATGCAGGCAGCACTCACCAGGCTCATACCCATCAAACTCAGGGTGGAAATTCCGTTTGGGGTCAAAAGGCACCTTGATTTTATCAGCCACCACCAACCACTGGTCCGGGATAGGCTGACCCAGGTCCTGTGCCAGGGCAGCAGCAAAGTGCAGGCTGGGGGAGGATAAAGGCTACAGTCCCAGCACTGTAGGTTGGGCTAGGGCTGCTGGGCAGGCAAGGGCAGACCCAGGGGTTGGAGACTGACCTGTTCTGGACAAGGACGTTGGTGTACACGGAATTGTTGACTCCTGTATGGTACTCGTCAGGGGGCATAACTCCTGGGCACATGAATCCACCATGGCACATACTGCAGCAGTTCCCATCCACCATTCTGCTTGCCCACCTACTTGCCCAGGCCCACACCTCTCAGGTGGAATTTCTTCTCCTCGGCATTCCACTCCACACGGCTGCACCAAAACTCCGCCACAGCACTGACCACATCCCAGCCACCGGCTTCTTGGAAGAGCTGCAGGTCCTGGGGAGTAGGGGCTGGGACTGAGGCCAGAGCATGAAGGGTCACAATGCAGGCCCAGTGCCCAGCCTGGTCCTCGAATGTCCCTTAAAATGGCATTCCAGGACTGGCCCCAAACAGGGGATCATGAGTAGGATGGCATACCTGGTGAGCCCTTACCTGGGTGGCATAGTAGTACAGCTGGAAAGCCAGTACCACCGCCCCATTGATGTGGACCTCCTGGGCCCCATAGATGTCCTCAGGGCAGACCTCCAGGCCAGAGTTTGCACTCTCCCAGGCAAACTTGGCTCCCTGTGGGATGGAGGTGAGGGATGGGAGAAGGATGGGTCAATGTCCGTAACCCTGACCCAGGGGGTCTGATCCCTTGCGCAGGGTGAAGTGAGGAGTGGGGGCTCTGGTGCCTGCCGTGTGACTCTGTGGGCCAGATGGCCTCTGCCTTGTTCTCAGGGTGTGCTAACCCTGGGTGATCCCCCAGGTAGTGCCCAGGCCCCTTACCTGGTAGCTCAGGGCCCGGGCATTCTCCAGGGCCCCAGCCAATGTTTGGATACGGTACTCCAGGAGGGCCCTGGCAGCCTCTGGGTGAAACATCAGGATATTTGGGAACATCCAGAGGTCCTGAGAAAATGTCCCCATTCTGGAGCCAGGTGGCTTCCCCATCCAGCTTCCCCCTGCAGCAGTCACCCTTAATGCCCAGTGGCCCCCAAGTCCTCTTCTTTGTGCCCTCAGCTTTTCTGGCCCTCACATCTCATCCTCCACCCAGTTCCATGTGGCAGCAATGGTTTGTGTTGCTCTTGGATTGAAGTCCCCATGGCTTCCTTGGTCCTAAGAAAGCCTCAGGCCCACACTGTTCCCCAGCCTGCATGAGGACCCCTCGGTCACCCACTAAGTACCCCTGGGCACCTCTTGATCACTCTTGTCCACCAGACTCCTGCACATCCTTCTGGCAGACATCACCTCCTCCAGGCAGCCTCCCCACCTGCACAGTCCCTGTGTTCCCCCAACCACTGCCTGGGTCCCAGGGAAGACAGATGCTGATCTTTCACTCCCTGTAGTGCAGCTGGTGCTGGGCAGGCCATGCATACCTGGTCCCAGAAGATGTGGCCCCAGTAGCACTCTCCATGGCTTCCGTTGGAGAGACCTCCAGGGCTGAGGCCATGGCAGACGGGTCCTGAGGTCCCAGGCTGGGGCAAGGCACTGAACAGGTAGTAAAGGGAGCTACGGAGAGCCTCGCGCAGAGCCAGGGGCCCTGCCACGTCCAGGCTGCAGCCTGTCCAGAAGTGGGCCCAAGCATGCGCATGGGTGTCATACAGAGAGCCCCTAGCCTGCAGCTCTAGGGCCTCAGTGAGGCAGGCCTGGGCTTCCTCCTGGCTGCCACCCACCACAGTCAGGAAGTCCCAAGTCCTGATCTCTTCACCTTCGCCAAGGCTCAGGGCTGGGGGCACTGGTGTCCACAGCATGTGTACCTCCTTCTGGGGGACCCCTGGCTGCTCTGGGGTGAGTGTGTGGCCATATAGGTACCTGTGAAGGTACGGCTGTGCCTCAGTGATGGCTTCCTCCTGGGGCCACCCAGTGGGAACCCAGGCCCCCACTCACCTGAAACCTAGGAAGTCAGGGCCCAGGTGCAGGTCCAGGTCTGGGCTTTCTGGGGAGAAGGCTGACCACAGCAGTACCCTGATGGGCCTACTATCCGCCGCCACACGTGCAACGCACACCCTGAAGGCCAGGACATGGGGCAGCGTGCGGTGGGCATAGATGCGTTGGGAGGCCCGGAAGCTGGGGCCCTCCATGGTGTGCAGGAAGGAGCCTGGGGAGATTTGGGAACCTGGTCAACCTGGGCAGGGGCAGGAGGGAGCAACAGAGGGAACTCCAAGAAGGGTACAGAGCGGTTGTGTCACCCCGGAGTAGGGAGTAGGTCCCTTGGACCTCTGGACACCTCTCCCCATAGTGAGGTGGGCACACCCTCCCAGAATCTCTGTAATGGCTACACAGGACCTGGGAGGCCCAGGAGAGAGGAAAGGGCAGCCATAGAGGTCCCGTCGCAGGAGGTCGCCTCTCTTGGCCTCCTTTTCTTTGTGAGACCCCTTTGCAAAGTGAGGAGGTGCAGGCCAGGATTGCTGTGTGGTCCCCTCTGCTTGGGGAGAGGCCAGGCCAGGCCCAGCTACCTGTGTTGGTGTCCAGCACAAAGGTCTCAGTCAGCTGGTCTCCTGTCCCTGCAGGGGCTTCCAGCCGCACGTTGAGGGGGCTGGGCAGGATTGCCCGGTGTGTGTTGCCCCTGGTCCCGTTGTACACGCCGCTCACGTGCAGAGTGTCATGGTACACACGTGTGCCCAGGTATGCGTTGGTCACTGTGGCCAAGAGCCTGGGGTCCCTGGGCAGAGAGTGCGCGGCGAACTGCGTGGGGTCCGGTTGTGCGTCCTCCATAGGCGGTCTCTGGCGGGCAAGCTGGGCCGGGACTGTGGGTTCCCCTCTTCAAACTGCAGCCTTCCAGTCTCTGCAAAGCCTGGCCAACCCCGCAGACAGGGGCGAAGGACCCTAGTTTTCCAGCACGCCACCTGTGGGCCTCCCGGGAAAACGCCATGAGCGCTGGTCTCCAGCCAGACGCGGTTTACCCGGTCTCAAGCTAGTCTCAACGCCTGTGGCCTGTGACCCCGAGAGAGGACTCACCCAAGCCAGCCGTCTCCCCGACCCCAACTCTGCAGCCGCGAGTGCACGTGGGCCCGCGTTCCGCGGTTCGGAGCGCCGAGGTCAAACCAGGAAGTCCGGAGGCTATCGCGATCTTCTGCGGGACCTCCGGGATTCACCGCATCCTTGCTCGGTCTCCGGACGCCCCCTGGTGTCCCTCGTGCAGCCGGGTGGGCGCCAACTCGGGCGTGGCTTCGGGACGCGGGGCGTGGCGCGCGGCGTGGTTCAGAGGCAGGCGTGGGGGCGCCTCCACTCTCGCATCCTGAGGTTTTGTAGAGAGCTGTGAACCTGGTAAGACACGGCAGACCCAAGCGACGAGAAGTCCAGCTTTGACCAAGCATGTCTGCAAAGCTGGATCTGGGGTGCTTGGCTTGTGACGATGTATTTGACTTCTCCAATCCTCCTTCTCTACTATGTCCTTTTCGCCAGAGGGGACCCTGTCCAGTTCTGCTAGACATATGCCCTTTCCTTTGCTCTGAGATCCCCTCCGGCTCGCTCCGCCTCTGCCTCCGGTCCCAGCAGGTCTCCGCCCCTACCCACGCGAAGCTTCCGGGCAGCTCTGTAGTGGGCGCGGCCTAGAGCTGCGCGGTTGGGCTGTGTCTGGGTTGGCTCGTCAGGCTCCCCACTTAGGCGTCCAGCGTGGACACCAAGTCAGGGCATTCCTCTGGTCTCTCAGAGGACTGTAGCAGGGCTGCCTCACCACCCTCACCAGGGCCTGCCTCGGTTCCCCGTCTTTTCCTGCGTTCCAAGCGCGCTTACCCCTCCCTTTGCTCTCGAGTATGTGGAGCGCTTTCTGGACATTCACTCAGGCCTCATCCGCCCCGCTCCATGCGCTCTGCAGCCCCTCACTGCACTGTGCTTCCCTGCACATGTCTGCCCCTTTATTATTTAGTGCAGAATGTACTTATGTATTACATATGTACTTACGATGTCTTGTTCATCATATATGTGTTTACTATATTACTATTTCTATATCTGGAAGGCTAAGGCAAAGGGGTCCTAAGTTTGAGGCCAGTGTTTTTGTGCGACAGGGGCAAATCTTGTCTTGATTTAAAAAAGAGCAACAAAAAAACCCCCACTGTGGTGATGCCTGCCTATAATCCAGCACTTTAGGAAGTTTGCTAATTTGAGCCACCTCAGGGACTTATCAAGACCCTGTCTCAAAATTTAAAAATAAAATAAGATAAAATAAAAAAGATCTGGGGACTCAGTTCAGTGTGAAGGCTCTGAGTTCAATCCCCAGTACTATTTTTTAAAAAAGTATCCTATATTTACTGTATTGTGTTTTTATATATCACATGTACAGTATCTACTGTATCTTCTGTCATGTGTGTATTTATGGTGCTGTGTTTGCATATGCCTACATATTTATTATCTGTCTTCTACTTAGAATACTGCCTTAAGAGGGCAGGGATTTTTCTGTTTTGGGAATGAAAGTGGATTTACAAAGTGGTTAATGGAGAGGGTTTCCCCTGGGAAGTGACTCCAGGATACTCTCACCCAGTCTGGGGCCCAAACATGGAAAGAGCCTGCAGAGCCTGGCAGAGGAGACTGGGGCTTCCAGGGTGTTTCCTGCTTTCTGCAGCCAGGCCAGCTGCTGAGCCTGATTCTCCAGTAGTGCCTGTGAACTGAGCTCTGTCCTATGCAGGTGGATTGGTGAAAGATGATCAAGACCTGCTGGGATGTTTGGCCAATGTCACAGAAACCAAAGAAAAAGATTCCACTGGAGAATTCATTATCAGTGTATCAGGGCCATCAAGGTTCCCACCCAGGGGGGTCACTGCTGTACTCCCACCTCCTGCCTTTGGAGCAGGGAGGACTTCTGGGCTTTGATCTCTGTGTCCTCCACTTTTGCCACGCTCCAGTCCTCAGAGGGCACTGATGACTCCCTCGGGAGAACCAGGGTGGTTGTCAAGTGCTGGATGGATGATGACCAGGCTGGGTTTTGCTGTCTTCACGGCCCTCAGCTCCTGCACTGATGGTTCATTCAGCTCCACAGAGGCCAGACTACATGTGCATAGGACAGAGAGTTGGGTCACAGAGAGGGAAGAGGCCTGGGCTTCAGGTACAGTGCTAGGGGTCCTGGGGTGGGGACAGTGATAAGGCTGATGCCCTTGTCTATGCCAAAGGGACAGGGACAGGTGACCAGTCTGGAATGTGCCAAAGATGAGTGGTTATTCGAGAAGTAAAATGATGGTAGGATCGATGCCCGGACTGTGGCATGGAATATGGGTATTATTTGGTCAACAAAGTGGTCTAGGGCTTCAGAGGGGGGCTTCTCCATGCCAGGCCCCCAGATCTTATTGGAGCCTGGTCACTTGAAAGGTCTCTGGAAGGGGCTTCTCATGAGGGCTTGTGGGAGCCCCAGGGACCCCCTGGGGTTGACAGGCTGGGTCCTAGCACCCTGCCTGCTTGCCCCTGCTTTCACCTGAGGGTCTGAAGGCTGCATTCTGGGTGCCCAAGGACTGCACACAGGTAGGTCACCATGGGGCCAGGCAGGTGACAGCCGCTGAGGTCCAGGGTGATAAGAGTGCGGCTCTGTCGGAGCAGGCCTATTAGGTAGTGGAAGCCTTCCAGGGGCCTTGGCAATAGGACCCTGGGAAAGAGCTGATCTCAGAAGCTGCTAGAGTTGGAGTCATGCCCCTCCAGCCTTGAGCGGAGGGGCTCACCTGAGTGTCTGCACTGGCATTGGGGCCAGGCCAGGCCCTCACTGAGCACATGCACACCAGTCTCACTGAGCCTACAGTGGAGGAGGCCCAGCTCTGTCAGGGCGGGGGCTCCCCTCAGAGCCATTGAGAGTTCTTGGCAGACCCTGTCAGAGAGTTTCCAGTGGGACATCCTGTGGTCAAGAAGACACAGATCTGATGCGTGAGATCCTGGGTTTGAGCCCTAGCACCAACCAAAAACAAAATCCAAAAAGAAGCAGTTATATCTGTTTGTGAGCCCTCTGGCCACTTCTTGCTCCCAAATGCACAAACTTTTTGCTCTCTGGTGGCCTGATATTCACCCTGGAGAGGGTGTGGAGTCCACTTAATTGGGTCATCATTTCTTTGGTCAGCTAATCCCCATGGTAGGGTAGTGTGTGTGTGTTTGTTTGTTCGTTTTGCTACTGTAAGCAATGGTATTCTGAGAATCTGTTGTGCATTTAGTTTACTGGTAGAATTGCTGGGCCATATGTGATCATCCTTGGGCTCCTTACTTTATTTCTACCTCCTTCCCACACCTATCAGGCTAGTGTATCAGGTCACTATTGATGAGTGACTACCACTTTCACTGTGCCTGTCAGTATTAATTCCTATAACTTCTCTTACTTTCTGCTCACTGGTGATGGCTAACAGTGACTGGAAAGCTATTGCGTTCCAGTCGCTATACATTGTAGCTCCTGATGGCTCAGCTCAACCCTCTGAGAGAGAACCTGGGTGCATTTCACACCAACCTTTTCCTCACTAGCACCTAACTCAGGGTGGAATCCTAGTGGGTCCCCAGGCTCCCCTAGGTCAGCATTCTGTATCTGCACAAGGTAACCTGCTCTGAGTCCCTTCCACAGAAAGAAGAGGCTGTAGTCACTCACGTCAGGGTGCTCAGGCCACACTGCAGGTCAGTCATGGCCTCGCAGAGTGGATGCAGTGGAGAGACATGGAGTTGTTTCATGGCGGCTTGAGAACTGCTGGGAGAGAGAGGTGTTGAGGCCCACTATGCCCCTTCCAAGCTCCTTCCTATCTGTGGTCCTGGGCTCTTGGAACCACCTCTGCCAGTCAGTCACCACCCCCCCCCCCGCAACCAAACCAGGATTCTTCCATCCCTTCTGCAGGGCCTTGGGCCTAGGCCTTGCCAATGTCCCGGTGAGCACCTGGGATGGGTGCTGAGTGAAGCTAAATTCAAGAAACCAGCACGGTTCTTGCCCTGAAGGGGCTGAGGTTCTGGTAAAAGAGGCAGGCCTGAGGGATGCAGAGTAACACACAGGATTCCAGGCTATCTGAAGCAGCCAGGGCAGGCTCTGAAGATGGACAGCAAAGGGAGTGCTACATGTGGAGGGAACAGCAGGTGCAAGGCTCAGGGCAGAGGACATGGTGCATTCCAGAACTTACTGGAGTAAGCACACAGGGAGGGGGCTGGACCAGAGCTGCAGGAGGCAGTTGCCATGCTAGATTTGCATTGGTTGTGGATGGCTGAAGGTGGGCATAGTAAGGACACCTTGGGGAAGATGGACACTGGGCAGCTGCCTTGCAAGGGGTAGAAAGAAGTAGTCCTAAGGTTCTCCAGCCTGTCTGACCTTGGGGGAATAGACACCAGGTCTGGACATGTGCCCCAAACCAAGAGGGGCACCAGTGTATAGGCACACACTGTCACCCGTGCCCCACGAGACTCACCCCTTCATCCGCTTCACCAGGCTCCCTTTCTTTTTTGTTTCCTGCCCAGCCACTTATCAGCTGCAGCACCTGTCCAGCTGGGCAGCACCGAATGCAATAGCTCAGAATGTTGAGATCCATGCGGCTAAAGCACACATGCTCCAGTGTCAGCTGGGGGAGGCTGTTCAGGGCCTGGCACACAAAGGCATCATCCAGGGTCTCATACAAACAGTACAGCAGCTCCAGAGGGAAGTTGGGCTCTTCCTCCTCTTCTTCCTCTTCTTCCTTCTCCTCTGGCTCTTCAGTGTCCTTGAGCCCTTCAGTCCTGTCTGTTCCCTCTGGTGCTACCCTGGGGTGGCTCTGCCCCTGCAACCCATCGTAGGGCGTCCTGCTTCACATGTGCTGGGACCACGCAGCCGAAGTGGCGCTGGACATCCTGTACATGCTCCACACTCAGCAGTCCAAAGAAGAAGCATGTGGTGAGTGTAAGGTGACTGCGCTGCTCCATGCCCTTGTGCAGTAGCGTCTCCAGGCCACCTACTGGGACCCCGGTGCCCCCTCATCCTCCAGCAGATAGGACAGTGCAGCAAAGAACTCCTGGAAGCTCTGGTCGATGAACTGGTGGATCACCTCAGTCTCCAGCACACCCGGCAGCTCCTTCTTGATGAGAAAGTGCTGGATGTCAGAATCTCAAAGATCCAGGCGCCCCAAATCCCTTTCAGAGAACTGTACCTTGTCTCCTAGAACCTCTTAGCGAGTCAGATAGCACAGCTTGCGCAGCTCCCCCCTCACGTGGGGCCCATTGGAGCCCATGGAGTTCAGCGCGCTGCGCAGAAAGAGCAGGTACACCGAAGCGGTGGTCTTGGAGGTACATGACAGGTCCCGGCCCAGCTCCAGCTGCCGGCACAGTACAGTGCGCACGATCCAGCACACGACTGGCACGAAACACAGGGCGAACAGGGTCTGGATCTCCTTCACAAAGCGATAGGCACGCTTGGCCCTGCGCTCCTCCTGGAAGAACTTGTAGAAGTACTTCTTGTCCTTGTCCGAGAAACCTCGCACCTCGGCGCACTGTGGCGCGCACAGGCTGCAGTGCTGCTTCGCGGAGGCGGTGGTGCGCGTGGTCACCAGCAGGCGAGCCGAGGGCAGCAGCGCCTTGCTCAGCAACCCGCCCTGCACCCGCACGCCGCTCGCTGCCTCGAAGAGATCCGTGCAGGGGGCGGCCTCAAAGGCCCGGGGCGCGGGCAGCTCGTCGGCGCCGTCCAAGATGAAGAGCAACCGCTGCCGCTGAGCCAGCATTAGCGACGGCGGCGCATCGCTGTCTGGGCACTGGTCCAAGATGAGGTCGGACAGGCTGCGCGCGCCGGGCTGCTCCAGCAGCTCGTGGCACTGCAGGAAGAAGGCGAAGTCCACCTGGCCGCGGTACAGCTTGCCCGCCACCCAGTCCTACAGGATCTTCTTGGCCGCCATGGTCTTGCCGATGCCTGCCGGTCCCTGCAGCACCACGGTCAGCGGCCGCCAGCCCTGGTTGTCACTGCCGAACAGCCCGTTGAAGGTGTGCGCGTCCGAGCGCCAGGCGCGCCCGGGCTCCGGCTCTTCCGCTGGTCCCAGCGCCGCCGCCTTCTCCCTGGGTGCCGCGCTCTCGGGCGCGATGAGCAGCTTGGTGAAGCGCTGGCTGATCTTCACGGAGAGCGCGTTCCTCTCCTTCACCTTGGCGTGCTGCTGTAGCACGTGTTTGCGGTATTTCTTCTGGAACTCTGCGGGGAGGAGACGCGGAGGTAGGGTAGCGGCTCGGGGGACTCGCCCTCTCCCAGGCCTGTCTCCTCCCCTGTGGAGATCCCCAAGCGTCTGGGCCGCGGGGGCCGCACCCGAGCCACCTACCCGACACAGAGAGCAGCGCCTGGGAGCTGGGGCCGAGCCCTGCAAGGGAAACCGCGTTGAGGCGTGTGTGCGCGGGGGGGCGGGGGGTGTGTGTGCCACGGGCTGGAGGCTCCCTCCGAAGCATCCAGGATCGCAAATTTACAGATAAAGCACCGGATTTTTTTCTGGGAAATGGGAAGGAGGAAGGCCTCGTGGATGGGGGGCTTCTCCCCGAGGGCAGCAGAGTGAGCCCCCCCCCCCCGCGAAACCCTGCCCCTGCTCACCTTGCAGCCGTTGCTCCTTGAGCCGCACCGCCACGTCGCGCACGTCCGCCCTCTTCAGGGTCCTGTGGGCCACGTCCAGAGCTGTCTCTGGCCCATAGAAGAGGGTCAGGTGCTCCACGAGGTCCACGGTGTCCGCGCACTCCAGCCGCCCCCACGGGATGCTGCGGCCGCCCACCGCAGCATCCCGCAGCTTGTGGCGGAAGCGCTTCAGCTGGTCCTGGCTCAGGTCCTCCAGTGCAGCCAGGAGCAGCTCTCGGGCTGCGGCGGCGCGGGGCTCCAAGCTGCGGGCGGGCAGGGGTTCTTCAGGGCACCGCCTTCTTGGTCCCGAACCCTACTGCAGGGCGTCAAGTCCCCCACACTGGCGGAGGCTTGCACAGGCACAGACTTCTCCAGAGGCCCTACACCAATGCATGCTAGAGATCTAGGCAATGGAGGGAATCTCAGACTCTGTCCTCCCCTGCTGAGACTCTGGGTCTGCCTCCCACCGATGCTGCTTGTGGTGTAGTGGGTCCCTCGATGACCACACTGACCTGTGGGCGAGTCTCTCTGTTGCACTTCCCTTGTTGCCTTCTTCCTCCCATACACTTGGTCAGATGTCCAGGGAGCTGTGTCTACAGGGCCTGGGCTCTCACCTTCCCTTCTCTTCTGAGGGCAGGGGCCAGCAGACCAGGCCAGGCCCTGAATTCCCTCCCCAGTGTCCCTGTAGCTTTGCTGGGCCTGCCTGGGACTCCTGCACTGAGGGATGAGTCCGTTAGTGAGGAACAAACCCCATAAGTGCTCTGGGGACTGTGTGAAGCTCCAGGAGACCAGCACAAGGTGAGGACCCCCACACCTCTGCTGAAACCAGCCCACCCTGATCCACACCTACCTGAAGCAGAAAACACTGGCCTGGGCCATGGAGGCTCTATGTGGGTCTGGCACTCACTCAGGGACAAGCAGAGTAGGAGAGGCAGCTAGCCCTTCCCCAGGATGACTGGGCCAAGTCCTGGGGTTGAGGTGGGTCAGCCTCATCCAGACAGCCTTCTGGTAAGACAATCCCCAGGTTCCCAAGCCTATGCAATGTGGCATGAGTGCACTGTCACCCTTTAAATGCTCTGCTTGGTGACCTTTGGTTTTTTACTGTTCTGTTAACAGCCCTGGGGTGGTGGTATCGGGGTGTGGCCAAGAGCAGGTAGCTGCAGAGGGAGTGGGCAGCATGGAGGAAGTGCTGGCTCAGAACTGGCCTTAAGCTAAGGCCTCCATGCGTTTAAATTCTGCAAGCAGGGGTGAGAAGGGGCTTCCAAACAGAGGAACTGTGGGAGTAGAGGAGGAATGTGCAGGGCTGTTGCCTGGGCACAGAAGGACAGGAGCTGGAATGTGAGGGCAGCGACTCAAGCTCTGCAGCATTCCACATGGTCCTGAGGAGGCTGATGGGCAGAGGTTTGGAGGAAAGGGGTGCTGTGACTCTACAAATCACCACCTGAACGTGGGGCTCCAGTGCTTGCATGGAGGTGTGAAGTGTGCATATACTCATATCTGAGTGGCCATGCTAATGCTGTGCTAGTGTGCCTGAATTTATTTATAGTAGTCTCCAAAGACAACAGGTCCTAACCTTGGGATCTGTGAGTGTTCCCTCATATACCAAAAGGGACTTTGCAGATGTGACAAAATTTAGGATCTGGAGATGGGGTGGTATCCTGGGTTACCCAAGTGGGCCCAACATGCCATCATGAGTGCCATCAGATGGAGGTGGAGGGTCATTTGACATAGAACAAGATGCTATGCTGGGGGCTCTGAAGCTGGAGGAAGAGGCCAAGAGACAAGGCACTTAAAGAAGAAGGCTCTGAGATGGCAGAGCCTGGGAGAGAGTGTGGCCAAGCCCTCACCTGGAGCTCAGCCAGTGAAACTGATTTTGGACTCTTAACCTCCAGAACAGTAAGAGAACATACCTGCTGTTTTGATCACTGTTTTCTGTGGTTTGTTACAGCAACTGCAGACTGTTGAAGTGGACCTGTGAGCAAAGCTAATTGCCCTGGCACCCACCTGGTACAGCTCATCCATGTCCCATTTCCTTCTTTTGTGGGCCTCCCTGAGAGTCTCAAGTGTAGCCTTGATTCACCCATTTCTCCCCGTGACTATTTAAGATTACAGGCCCTTGTCCTTGAGGAAGGCTCAGGTAACCAAAGATATGGCTCATGTTCAGCAATCTCTCTCCTGCTTAATCAACCCATCTTTCCAACTCCGGGGCCACTAGCACCTGGGGAATTTCCATGCATAAGGTGCTCACAGACTCAGGGAGCCTTGCCCTGGAGGAACAGGTAGGCACAAACATTATACTTCTGAGGGTTGTGGTGCACCTTTTGATGGATTTTTTTTTTTTTTTTTTTGGCACTGGGATTTGAACTCAGGACCTAATGCTTGCCAGGCAGGCACTGTGCTGCTGAGCTATCTTCCTGGCCCCTGTGGTGCACCTTTTGAGTGGCCTTTATGACCAGGAATAAATTTCTCATCCTAAAGTCCTGGAAGGCTATGGGCTGAATGTGGCAGGCTTGAGGCCCCTAGCTCATTGGGACCCCAGCCCTCTCAACAAGTGGTCTGGGACTCACATTCTCTGACAGGCTGGGATTTTGTAGGGGGAACCTTGCAAGCTAAAATAGCGAGCTTGAGAACAGATGGCTTGAGGTGAGGAGTCTGGGCCCTGTGCAGTATGGTGGGTGTCACTGGGCCCTGAGGCTACTACTCCACCTGTAAAGACCCCAGCCTTTGCTGACTCCTGGCTGAGCCAAGCTCTAACCTGAGATTTCAACACACTCCTGTGGATGCAGACATGACACACATAAACATGGATGTGTTGTTCTTAAACAAATGTTTACTTTATGGTGGAGAAAAGAAGTTTTCCACCATGGCCATGTCTTTCACTCTCACTTAAAACAGAAAGCACAAAACCAGGCTGCCTGGATCCAATCCTGAAGGTGCTGCCCAGTAGCTTTGTGATTTGGGGCAGAAGGCTTCACCTCTCTGTGCCTCTATTTCTCTGTCTGTATGATGGGGTGGGCACAACTCTTCCATCATGGGAGAGAGGTATGTGGGCCATGCTTCAAGCATTTGCTGTTCTCAGCCCTGTGTCCCTGAGTGGCTGCTGCCATCACTGTCCTGCTTTCTGGGCTGTGCTTTCCAAGCTATGAAGGACGGTCCAGTGTCTCAGCCCACTTTGGTTCTCATTCTAAATCACGTCTCAGTAGCTCTCAATATGACCAAAATTGCCTCTTCCTTGAAAGGCCCTTTTCCTGTTGTGGAAGGAATGGAGGATCGTGGTGCCAGGGGCTGGATTCTGAGCTGCGAGGCCTGTGGTTTGGGAATGCAGAGGAGGATCAGCCTTATCACTGCACTGGAGGCGTCACCCTATGGTGGACTCTGCTCAAGAGCTCTTGATACCTTTGACAGTGGGCCAGGAAAGGCTGATAACAGGAGCCAGTTTCAGAGTCACAGGTGAGACTTGGAGCTTTGGTGATGGGAGGATGTGGGACCCTGTGAGGGGGGTGAGGGAGGGGAAGAAAGGAAGATAAAGGAATTTGGATGGGAGGGGTGTGGAGCCAGCCCCTCAGCAGTGGCACCTGCTCCTGGATTTATGTCATGGGGCCAGCTGCTGAGCAGAGTCTTTCCCAGGTACAACTTAAGTCTGGAACACAGAGCTGCATTCCATCATGACATTTACACAGGCTTCTTCTGCAGGGGTTTCACTACTCGGCAAAACTTCATAGCTCTGTCATTTCTTCCCTGTCCCCATGCTGTGCCCTCATGGCTGCTGGAAAGATGTCCTTGGGTTCTCTTGGTCCCTTGGTGTCATCCATTCCACCTCTGTGGTCCTTCTTACTCAGAAAGCCTGGCTTTGGACCATTTCAGGTGTCCACAGCAGAATTTCCTAGAGCTCTACCTGTTGCCCTTGTGATGGAGACCACTATGAAGCAGACATGGGCAGGACTTAAATTAATCAATTGGCTTTTCATGTCCACTTGTGAACCTGTCCAAGGCCTAGGCTCCTTGTCTGGAAATGGCAGACTCATAGTAAGTGAACCTGTGTGAGTCACTAATCCCTACTAAATCCTGTACTGGTGGATGAAGCCCGAACGCCTCAAAGGATAAGACAAGATCACAGCCAAGGACACCTGGATCAGATCTCAACTGGATAAAGACTATAGCCTCAGGCATCTCATTCTTGCTGGGCCTGTTCCAGGAGCCACACCAGCTGATAGCATACCCAGGAAACCTAAGAACATCTTTTATGAACATGGGCATGGAGAATCTCACAAACCATTTAGAACCAACAGAACATGTTAGCACACAGGAAAACACTATACCAGGACTGAGTGGGACTTTTCCCAGAAGTTCAAGGCTGGCTCAACACCCAAAATCAATTAGTCTATCATTAATATTGGAAAGGACAAAAGCCACTTGATCAGCTCCAGAGATGCAGAAAATATTTTACAATATTCAACATTTTTGCACAATTAAAAGCTTTGAACAAACCAGGAGAAACACAGGGGAACTTCTCTAGTTAGAAAATCTCAAAATATTTGGAAATTAAACAACATACTTCCAAAATAGTACATGGGTCAAAAAGAACATCTCAAGGAGAATTTTTTTTGGGGGTGGGAGGTTTGGCACTGAATCTAGGGCCTTTTCACTGAGATACATCTCCATCCCTTTTTTTTTTTTTTTAATATTTTGACAGGATTTTGCTAAGTTGGAAAATTGCCTGTGCTGGGTTCAAACTTGCAATCTTCCTGTGTCAGCCTCCTGAGGAGCTGTGGTTATAAGAATATATTACTGTACCTAGCTTTAAATATATACTTTAATTAAATAAAAATGAAAAAATTAAATGAAAATGAAAATACAATTTAGCAAAATTTGTGGGATTCATCAAAAGCAGTTCTTGTGGGGAAATTTATAACATTCCAATGTTCATACTAGAGAAAAAGAAAGCTGTAAAATGAAGTCTTAATTTCTACCTTGAGAAAGCAGGAAATAAACCAAATTAAGTCCATATTAAGCAAGGGAAAAAGAAATAAAAATAGATCCCAAATCAGTAAAACTTAAATAAAATCAATAGAGATAATCAAAGAACCTAGAGTTTTGTTTTTTTTTTAAATGATGTTGATAACCCTCTCCTCAGACTAAGAAGAGAGAGGGAGAGGGAGAGAGAGAGACAAAGAGACAGAGAGAGAGAGAAGGGACCAAGTGAGATTTATTCCAAGCATCCACAGCTAGTTTAAATTTAAATATCTATTAATATAGAAAATCATCATCAAATAGATGCAGAAAAGCATTTGACAAAATTCAACATCCATTTATGATTTAAAAAAACTCAAGAGATAGAGTGGAGCTCACACAGCTTGATAAGGAACATCTACAAAACACCTTCAGCTAATGCCAAGCTTGATGGTGAGAAGCTAGATGTTTTCTTTTTAAGACTGGGAACAAGACAAAGATGTGCACTTGCACCATGCCTAATCGACATTGTATTAGAAGTCAGCTTACAAAAGGGATCAAAGGGTACACAGATTGTGAAGGAAGGAAAAAAACTGTTTCTTTACACACAGCGTGATAGTCTTTGTAGAAGATTCCAAAGAATAAAGCTCTTGGAACTAAATTATGACCATAACAAGCTTATAGGACATAGGCTTAATATGGAAGTCCTTTGCTTTCCTATGTACCAGAAAGAAACAAATGGAATCTAAAGTTTGAAGCAAAACATCATTTATATTAGCTCCAAAAAAGTGAGATACTTAGGTATAAATCTAACAAAATAGGTGCAAGATCTACATGGATAAACTATAACTCTGATTAAAGAAATTAAAGATCTAAATAAATTAGAGGTGTTCCATGTTAATGGATAAGAAGATTCTACATTATTAAGAATCAGCTCTTCCCAGATTGATCGGTAAATTCAGTGTAATCAGAATCAAAATCCCAAAAATCATTTCATGGATATAAAAAAATAGATTCTAAAAAACAGATTCTACAGTTTGTATGAAAAGACAAAAGACTCAGAGCAGCCAACATGACATTGAAGAGAGAATAAAATCAGAGATGGACACTTCCTAGGTAACCAAGGTAGTGTGGTGCTGGCAAAGGATTAGCAATAGATCAATGGACAGAGCCCAGAACCAGACACCCTTGACAAAAGAGCAGAGGTAGCTCAACAGAGAAAGGATGTCCCTTCAACAGATGGTGCTGGCACAAGTGGACATCCATCTGCTGAAAAAGAATCTACATATGTGCGTCACACCAGTCACAAAATTAACTCTGATTGATCAAAGACCCAAGTATCAAGCACGAAACAATAAAACTTTTAGAAGATAACATAAGAGAAAATTTAGGAGACATTGGGTACGGTGATTATTTTTTAGATGTAACACCAAAAGTCTGATCCATGAAATAAAAAAATTGGTGAGTTGAACTTTATTAAAATGAAAGATTTGTTCTGGAAAAGGCATCATCAAGAGTTTGAAAAGAGCCGGGCTTGGTGGCTCACGCCTGTAGTCCCAGCACTCAGGGATACTGAGGCAGGAGGATCATTGCGAGTTCAAGACCAGCCTGGGCTACAAAGTGAGCTCAAGAGCAGCCTGAACTGCATAAAATATAACAACAACAACAAAAAAAGAGAGAGAGAGAGATTGAAAACAAGCCACATGCTGTGGAAAATATTTGCAAAATGTATCTGATTAAAAAGACTGTTACCCCCGAAAATAAAATCTTTTAGGATACAACAACAAGGTAACAAATGACCCAATTAAAATTTGAGCCAAAAACCTGAACAAACTCCTTACCAAAGAAGATAAACAGATGGCAAATAACACATGAAAAGACTCTCAGTAGAAAACTGAACATTAAAATGGTGAAACATTACCACATACCTATCAGAATAGCTAAAATTCCCAACAGTAACAACATTAAGAGCTGACCAGGGTGTGGAGACCAGGGTGGGTCATTGCTCGTGGGCATACAGGATGGCGTGGCCACGTGGAAGACAACTCCCTATGAAGCAGAACACAAGCTTA